AGAAGATTGCCAGTAGCACGTGAAAAGGAATTGGAAACCATGATTGAGAGAATGGTGAAGGATGGTGTTATTGAACCTTCATCCAGTCCTTGGTGTTCACCTGTGTTGCTGGTAAAGAAGAAGAACGGCAGCATGCGGTTTTGTGTTGACTACCGCCGTCTGAACGACGATACAAAGAAGGACAGCTATCCCTTGCCAATAATTGATGACACGCTGGACATGCTTACAAGAGTAAAGTAATTTACCACGCTGGACCTCAAAAGCGGCTACTGGCAAGTTGAAATTGACCCTAAGGACAAGGAGAAAACTGTATTCTCGACAGGACAGGGTCTGTGGCAATTTAAAGTTATATAATTTGGATTGTGCAATGCTACAGCAACGTTTGAATGGTTGATGGAGCTTGTACTTACCGGGCTAATTGTCTACTTGGATGACATCATTATATTATGTCGTACGTTTTCCGTGTCGTACCTTCAAAACCTGGACGTGTGCTCATGAAGATCCACAGTGCCAACCTCAAGTTGAGTCCGAAGAAATGTTCACTATTCAAACGGCAAGTTAGCTATTTAAAGTATGTTGTGACGGAAGAAGGTATCCACACGGATCTAGAGAAAATAGCCGCAATCAAGGATTGGCCGGTTCCAAAAGAAAAGACGCAAGTTAGAGAATTTTTGGGTTTGTGCTCCTATTATCGGCGATTTGTGAAGAACTTTGCTAATATAGCCAAACCTCTGCACAAGCTAACCGAAGAGAAGCGACATTTCTGCTTGGATGAAAGTTGCTATATCGCATTCTAAGGACCGTCACAAGGACCAAGGACCGTCTGTGCGAAACAGCTATTTTGGGCCTAATGCGGGCAAGGAATTTATAGTTACATAATTTAAAATTAAAAATTTTGTACAGCCGACTTCAATATAAGTTATTTAAGAATAACTTAAAAACTATTGGTCTGACCTTGATCAAATTCATATGGGACCACACGAGAAGTACCAGCTTTCAAATAAAAAAAAGAATCATCGAAATCGGTTCACCCAGAAAAAAGTTCTGAGGTAACACACATAAAAAAAAAACGAAACAAAAAAACATACAGTCGAATTGAGTACCGGCTCCTTTTTGGAAGTCGGCAGATAAACGCAAGTGATGTAGGACTTGGCGGTGTGTTGTCTCAATGGAATGGTGATCAAGAGTTTGTGATAGCGTACTACAGCAAGTCGTTGTCAAAGCCGGAAAGGAACTATTGTGTCACAAGATGGGAATTGCTTGCTGTGGTAACCTCGTTGCAGCATTTTAGCAAATATCTTCTGGGGCGAAAATTTCACTTACGAACTTATCATGCTGCACTGAAATGGTTATTGTAGTTCAAGAACCCAGAAGGACAAGTTACGTGATGGATTGAACTACTGCAGGAATTCGACTTTGTGATCGAACTTAGCAGCAGGTAATCTGCTACTAGGCAAGAGGGTAAGGAAGTGGTATCTGTGAGAATGCTCAGGATAGACCGGCTCAACAGTAAGTAGAATGACAGCCTACGACATGCACAGCCGGAAAATTCGGTCATCAAGCCGATTCTGGAATGGATGAAGGCCAGTGCTCCTAAGCCCAAGTGGAGCGACGTCACAGCGATGAGTTCGACCACGAAAAGCTATTGGGCCCAATGGGGCAGCTTGCTGATTCAGGATGGAGTCCTGATGGATTCAGATGGTTGTCCCTAAAGCTAATGTACCGGATGTTCTACAGCTGTACCATAATGGTTGTTCAGCAGGCCATCTGGGAGTTAAACGAACACTGCTGAAGATCCGAGAAGTGAAAGTGGTAACAAGTATTTCACGCTTGTGATGGATTTCTTCACTAAGTGGCCAGAAGTCTTCGCCATTCCAAATCAGGAAGCTTCAACAGTTGCAGATAAACTAGTTCATGAAATCTGCTGTCGTTTTGGAGTAACTTTAGAGATTCACAGCGATCAAGGAAGGAATTTTGAGTCTCAAATATTTCAGGAACTTGCCGAGTTATGGGTACTCATAAAACAACTTCTTCCACCCTAGGATAGGTACCTAGCAAAAGTTGTGAAATCGGCAACGAGACTGGGACAAGCACCTACAACCATTTCTGTTCTCATATCGAAACGTTGTTCACGAAAGTACATCAGTGACACCAGCTTTCGCAAAATTTGGAAGAGAATTACGGCTGCCTGCAGACCTGATCACTGGAATACCACCTGATGCCCCACGCAGCATAACCGATTATGCAAATGACTTGCGGAACAATATGAACGACATTTATGTGCACGTCAGACAATCGGGCCAGCAAATGTCTGAAAAGATGAAAACACGGTGTGATCGCAAAATGAACAACAAAGGATTCGACGAAGTCTTAAGAGGAGGCAGTGTTGCGCGCCACCATTAATGACTGGTACATGGCGACACTAGGTACCACTAGCGGCTTCTAGTATCGAGTAGCAGAACTAAGAGAGTCAAGATCCTTTTAGAAATTTCCATGGAAGAACTTTCTAGAACTATCGACACCTAGTCAGTCGGTACCGGTATGTACTCGAATATTCTAGATGTTTTTACAGTCGAAGGTTCTGGAATTATCTGAGGCCCTATATAAGTCTGGTATAGACCGCGACCCGGGTCAGTGTTGAATTGGCGATACAAGCGAATACTTCGAAGCGATACAACTGCGAACTTAAGTTATCAGTTGTACAATTGTGTTTCGTTATTAGTGTGGTTTTAAGTTGTAATTAGTGTTCTGTAACTAAAGTGTCAATTTTGGTAATTCACTCGGCAGTTTTAAATTGTCTCGAACCTCAAGCTCGTAACAATACGAATACCATTCATATACAACAATTTGTTAAAAAAAGATAAAAAGTAAAGTTACAGCTATATAATATATATATCATTTCTGAGAGGGATCAAGGACAAGAAAGTGTTCACCGCGCTTCTCCAATGCGTGTTAGCGGACTTTACGTCTTCGAAATATTTTTCTACTATTTTAGACATGCAGGTTTTCTCACTATGTTTTCCTTCACCGCCGAGTATGTAGTAAATCAGTACTTAAAATTGCAATTAACTTAATTGTTGGCGGTGGGGATCTAACTCGGGTTGCTCGCCTACTGTGAAATTCACAGCGAGCGCTTAGCCCCTAAACTACCGCGTATACCCTACCCTTGCATTATTTATGTCAGCGTGGAGCCAAGTCCTAACTACGCGAGACACTCGTGTAGGTTTTGTAATATTTTAATTGGTCACAAGCGTTTACGTAGTAAATTGAATTACCTTTTAATTCTCAATTAATCATGATCAACTCTTGCAAAGTCTTTGTTAAAAGTATTTAAGTTGATATATTCAATATTTTACCGTGTAGTGGAGGTGTAAGAATATCCACTACCCCATATTATCATCCCGTGGATGTTGTAAGAAGAGACAGAGGGAAACAAATCAGGAGATGGGCAGTAGCGTCTTCCTAATAACGACTAAAAATGAAAAACTGCGGTTGCCAACCCGCTTGCCAAGCGCGGCAACTATGGAAAATGTCCTCTCATGAGACAATCTATGGGGGATGCCTATGTTCAGCTGTGGACTTTAATACACTGTAACAGTTTGAAGATTTTACACCAAAATAACCAATGTAAGTTTTATTCATATCCCACTCAAATCGTATAACTTTTGTAAATACGCCTATGTTGGTCTGTGGTGTACCAAAGACAGAGCACATGGGTGCAATATCAGGACAAACACAAAACAACCATAACCGAAAACCAACCAACAATTTGTATTTTTCCACAATATTGCCACCTGCTGAATTTAAACTTTTTTAGGATCTGCAATCTATTTGTTACCAAATGAGACTCTTACTAGTGAAAATAACACCAGCAAGTTTTTTAAAACTTTAATTTATAGATACTTAAGACTAATTTGTTGAGTGTATTGAGAAATAAATAAAATACACATAAGGTGATCATGACTGTCATTGTAACATGGGAACTTACCCATGTTTTGAATCACGCGTTTATTGGCATCTAGGTCAAGTTTATTAGACCAGAGGGAACTGTCAAAGGAATAGCGTACGCGCGAATTATGGCATCCGAGTACTATTCCGCGTATTTTGTAATCAAGTAGGTAGATACATATTACACACATGCCGCACGCACGTGGATAACGATAATCTTTTTCATATTATGTAGTTGTAACTAAAAATAAATGGTTATTTACACTTTACTAAAATACTGATAAAAATTGTTCTAACGTAGATATATCAATTTTATTTTAATATGTATGTAATGTGTGGGTAGACAGACCTTACTGAAGTTTTAAACAGTAAAACAAATTATTTTTGGGTATCTCCTAATGTTCGAACTTTATAATTTGTTAAAATATCTATTGCTATTTTTTTTATTGATATTCTAACACCGCATCTGCATATTAACCAGTGGATGTCGTAGGAGGCGACAAAGAAAAACAAACCAGGAGGTGGCCAGTAACATCCATCTGCTACTTTACAAAAAAAAAATAAAAAAACTGTGTTTTTCTACGCGCCTGCCAAGCGTGATAACTATGGCAAATATCCTCCCTGAGGTAGATTACTGCTAAACAATGGAAATATATATGTACAACGCACTAGATTTCGCATTTTGAACATTGACATGTTCAACTGAACTGTACTTCTTTCCGTACACTAAAATAAATATTATGAAGTTTTGTGAATTCCATAAGAAAATTATTATTACATTTTATTTAGAAATATGTTTGTTTAGATGAAAATAAAAGTATTTTATATTAAATTCTTATGTTAATTTTATATTAATATCTTATTTTATATTAAATTAAAGTCTTCGCGCATACGCGACTCTATTATCTCCCGCGCATGCGCGAAGTACGTAGTAGATATAACTCAATCATACTGACTGTATATGGTAAGAATCTATTGTAGCTAATATGATCTCTTGCTAATTCGCATAAATCGGTAAACCATCGATATTTATGCAACGTTGTTTGTTACAGCTGTGCAAAATGAAAGAGATCGGATCAACTGCAGGAGGCCGTCCTATGAGGAACCGGCACAAGCAAACGGACTGTCTGTCGTATCGTTACTAAACGCGGAACTGCTCAGCAGAAAGGTCATAGATGAGGTAAGGTGATATCGAATGAAACATTGCGTCACAGTTTGATTTAATAAAACAAATAGTTTACATAATACGACGAATTGTGAGTATTTTTCATTAATTATTTAATTATGTATGTTAAATCTAGCAACTTATAATGGTTGCATGTTTTAATGAAATTTTAATAGATAAAAATAGATTATATTAATGGATGATATGGAATAATGATTAGATGTTGACCATATTAGTATTAGGTACCTGAATAATTAAAGGTCGGAATACATTTTGCTGAGCTATAGGAACCAAATCGAACAAAAATTTGGCCAAAACTTCAGTTAGTCGTTTATGTTTATGTTATCTGGATATATTGTGATTATCACTGAGTTTCTTATTCTATACCCAGGTTTAACTCCAATCAGACACATAGGCTCGTATTAATAAACGGTACTCAACGACGAACTCAAGTACGTAATCATTTGATACGCCCTCATTACGATATCAGCATCTCAAGATCGTTTCTAATTAATAAACACATAAAAGCAGTATCTCTCCTTTATTAATCAGTGTGTCACTCAGCTGATATCGTAAACCTAAACCGCATCTTGAGATATGTTTATTAATAAGATTATAACCTCAAGATTCCACTCAAGTGCGTTTACTTGAGCTGAGTAACGTTTATTAATACGGGCCATAGTCGCCGTGTCTCTAATTTTGCTAGGTGATTTAAATTTTGATCATCTCTAAACCAACCACATTCAACTCTTAATCGAATAATAAATACCTGATTAAGCTTTTATAAAAATCGATTCTGTAGTATTTTTTTAAATGAAAAATAAAACTTGGAGTTAGTCACAAGATGGGTTTTGTTGTAGTTGATGATGGTCATCCGGCTTATCAAAAATCTTATCCTATTCTATAGACGTAATGTTGACAGACAAACAACGTGACTGACGCGGAGATAAATAACCGCAAGCTGGCGAAGATCAACGACGTTTGCGACTCCATAAAACAGCAGCTTCTCATCCTGGTGGAGTGGGCGAAGTATATCCCCGCCTTCACTGACCTGCAACTAGACGATCAGGTATGCATGCATAAAGACCGAAATGTCTGATCATAATCCGTGTAGTAGTGGTATTAACCGTGGGTGTCGTTAGAGGCGACGAAGGGAAACAAACCAGGAAATTGGTAGCAGCGTCTTCCTTCCGTTTCCGTACCGTTACAGCCTATTTAAAGTCCACTGCCGAACATAGGCCTCCCTAGACTAGGTAGATTGCCTTATTTGCCCTTGTTGCCACGCTTGTGAAACGGGTTAGCAACCGCAGTTTTTTTTAAACGCTGCTGCCCATCTCCTGATTTCTTTCCGTCTATCGCCTCTTACGACACCCACGGGATGATATGTGGTAGTGGATATTCTTACACCTCCACTACACGGTACTGTGCTATGTAAAGACTCAGATTTTTTTTTCTCTTACTTGTCTTCCTAATAGCAACTAGAAAATAAAAAAAAACTGCACTTGCCAACTCGCTTGCCTGGCCTCCTCATACATTATGACGTAACGTATAACGTATGAGGAGGCCTGTGTTCAGAAGTGTTCGTCGAAAAGAAAATGCTGGGTATGGTCCTGGATTTGATATATTTGTTACCTTTGCCTGTTAGGCTTCCACCATGAATTCCACCTAAATGTTAGTGGTGATGTAGTCTTAAATGATAAGCTTACTATCTAATTTAAAAAAAATAAAATTCACTCTTGGCTTGAAGATGTACTTTGCGAAGATGATCCTGCATGGTAATCGGATAAAAACATAGGCTGGCAAATGATTTCACTATGCACATATTACGAAAAGTCCATTGCTATGATATGATATAGACATGAGCCTCTGCTCTAGGGATGATTTGCCTTAATCGCCATACTTGGCAGTGGAATTGGCGATCTTAATACAAGACGCCTTGCGCCTTTGACGCTGCTCCCCTTCTTCGGTTAGACCGCCCTACGACACCTACGGGACGAGGAGTGATGGATTCTCGCCGTCACACATTGTTTTAATGCGTTGATGAAATGTCCAAGTAAAGGCTATCAGTAGTAAAGGCTATAATCTATTCAAATATAACCAAATAATTTCCATTTCAAGCTGCACTTCTTTTGAACCACTTTTTAACGGGCTTAGGATCGTCATAATAAATAAAATTTAAAAAAATTATTTTGCTTATCAACGACGTAACCGGTGACGGCGTATTTAAATTTACTATACTAAATGAAATAAACTATTTACAACTAAATTACGCAAGTAGTCCCAATAAATAATATTGGTACATCAAAATGGAATCCTTTTCTCTCTATGCATAGACAAGCACGTATTTTCATAAATTATTTTTTACACTTATTACCTGTGCTTGATCACTTTTAATTTTCGTGAACGCAGCAATAATTTTATTGTGTCGGTTTTCATAATTTTGGGTCTCTTTGACGTAAACACGACTCTTTATTTCACCCCACAGATAAAAGGCTAACGGTGAAAGTTCCGGTGATTTTGCAGACTATGGTATAGCATCTCTGTGCGAAATCCACCAATTACTATTTAAGTTATCGCTCACTGCACTTGAATATTTTGATTAACTGTCAACTGTTCTTCGATTGGTACGTTAATTTCTTGCCGCAGTAAAAACTCTCTTTCTTATTATATTTGCGCACCACGTAAACTTTTATTGCTTAAAATGTAATATCGCACTATTTCATAATTTCATAGTATCCGCGGTTCGAATATTTTCGTTCCGTCATTGGTAACGAAGCATACGTAATGAGATCACGGTCAATACTGTCAGCGGTGTGTAGCGGTGTAACGGTAGGAAAGGGCGCGGGAAGACGCGCGACAAGGTACCTTACCGAGTGACCCTTACGAATGTGTGCATGTGTAAAATATAGTAGGCGTTAGATATTTATGAATGACAATCAGTTAAAATTATGCATTACCACGCATTAAAAGGTAAATAGGACAGAATGTTTGAGATTTTTTAATTAATTTTTCTACACCATTCGCCTATATTGCTTATTCTGAACTTTCTCCCCAAATTTATATATATATATATATATATATATATATATATATATATATATATATATAAATATTGCAAAATAACTATAAATTAAATAATAACAAAATATATATATATATTAGTTTATTTTAATTTTATCAATATGTTTAATATCAGTAGTTTTTTCTGATTTACTATATTGTTCATTTTACTTTTGGCACCTATCACATTATTTTCCAAACGTCCCGGGTTGACTGAGAATGCCAAAAGGCAATATGCCTATAGTGTGTAGTGTGTCTATACTATACACACACTACACACTACTGAATAAGCCAATAACATTTTATGGGCTGATGAAGATTAAAAGGAGGAGAAATAATCATTATTATTATTTTTATGTTTATTAAGCATTCGTCTTCATAGGTGGCGTTACTACGAGCGCATGCGGGCGAACATTTGCTCCTCGGCTGCGCTCGTCGCTCGCTGCATCTCAAGGATGTTTTATTATTGGGCAACAATTGCATCATTGCGAAGCATCACATTGGTAAGATTAATAATTATAGTATTTATACGCATGCTAGTTTTCATTCTTGAAGATGTGCACCGATTATGTTTGTCTAAGATTTTACCAAATTCGATTGATTTGTTAGTTAATTTTACCTATATGTATAGATTATGTTTTAATTTTATATGTATAGCTATACACAATATATAAATAATCATCAATACAGTATCGATGATTTTTTTGTTATTGATAGTGTCAAATTAACTAGATACCTAATATATCTTATTGCGTATGTTTGTACTGTACTTACTAATCTTAAACTGATAAATATGTTTGCGTGACCCATGACGTTTATTTATTTATATTACAAAATAGACCTGATTGCCTGATTATTTTCAGTCGATTTCTAAATAGGCGAAGGTTAGCAATTCGATGTGATGCAGGACTATCGTGCTACACCTAGCTTATTTACAGATTTTGTTGATTTTTTTTTTATACCAATATTAATTTCAGACAAAACTGACAAAAATTGAAGTCTGTTTTTTTAAATCCAGTCCAGTCAAAGGGTTAAATTAAATTTTGGAATGAGAGATAAGCAGCTTTAAACTTGTGTAATCCTGTAATTCGATATTTTATATGTTACATGATATGTCTCATAGAATCTCGTGTACGCGAGTCAATACAGTCAAGTTCGCAATAATCCATTTGCACTTATAAGCAATTATTTTATTAAATACAAAACATTTACTTCTACAACATTCTCCAGTAACAGTCGCAAGGCATTTAATGAGTGGGCGACACTAGGAAAAGACGAGATGAAAATTATATTAAGTGCAGACGAATATTATATTAGGTCCGGGAAAAAGTTTCTTCGCATTTTATATACAAATTCAAGACATTTTTTTTTATTTAATTACATTTAATTATAATATATATGTGCCATTTTGTTCGATAACTTGTTGCCATCTTGTAGGTAGTGACATAATCCCGTTGCTGTAGATAGTAGTTTTGATAGCCCTCTCTTGATGTTAATCTAACCCTACCCAAAGAATTCTGAAGAGGTGAAAATCAGAGGGTGCAAGGTCAGAACAATATGGTGGATGCATAACACTTCCCAACCAAGCTCTCTCAATTTTTCCTGACTGGCCAAATATGTGTGTGGTCTGGCGTTATCATGATGAAAGACCACTCCTTTTCTGTTGATCAATTCTGACCGTTTTTTCTCAATTTCTCGCTTGGGTCTCATTAGTTGTTGGAAGTAGAGATCCGAATCGATGGTTTGGTTTTTACCTGACGGTAAAAGCTCATAATAAATGATGCCCTTTCAATCCCACCATACACACAGCATCACCTTAATGCGTGTTAATCCGGGTGTCGTTACAGTCTGTAGAGCTTGACTACCCTTTGACGATGATCTTTTTCGCACGTTCTTGTCGTAGGTCCACTTTTCATCATCACTGATGAATATTTTCCAAAATGGTTTGGTTTCATTACGTTTCAATAAAGAATCGCAAGTGAGTACAGGATTCATTAGGATTATTTCAGTGAGTTCGTATGGTACCCAAATATCGAGCTTTTATGTATAGCGAGACTTTTTCAAATGGGTCAAAACTGTTTTGTGGTCAATCCTCAATTCCTCGACGTAACTATGTCGTAACCTATGTCGTAACTACTAATATGCCGATCTTGCTCCACTTTTCCAAAAATAATGGCATCGACAGATAACTGTATGAGGGCGACCACAGCGAGCTGCATCTTTGACATCAAAATTCCCGAACTGAAAACGCTTGAACCAACTTTGTGCTACTCTTACTGACACTGCATTAGGTCCATACACGTCACAAAGTTTTTTTCGCGGCTGGAGTCGCATTTTTCCTTTTTTGTAATAAAACTTCAGAATGTATCCAACTTCTTCATTAGGTTCACTCATAAAAACAATTGAAAAATGGCGGGAAATTGTTTGTTACCTTTTATTTTTCTTTTTCTTAATATCCTATATGTATTGATATTAAAAGCAGCCATATAAAACAGTACAATTAAAGAGATTTTTCTTCAATTTTATATAAACAAAATACGAAAAAACTTTTTCCCCGAACTTACCATGAAAGATATATAATCTCTCCGATACATTTAGAGAATATTTAAAAAATTATTCCAAAATATTTAAAATAGTGTGCCGACCACATGCAAAGTTAGCAGTTATATGTATTTGCAATTAACAAAATATTATTGGTGTTCACAGTGGTACTTATATACGGAGTGCGCTGACCCCCCGAGCCACCAAGACACTATATAAAACTGTAGTGATAATCGAACTTACAGTCCACCCGATGGTAAGTTGAGTCCATGGAAACCTGCAAACAGTTTCCAACGAGTTGTTATAACTCCAGTGTATAAGAATTGGAGGAGGTGATGTTAGCAACTATAGCCCAATTTCGTTCTTCCTTCGATTTCTAAGATACTAGAAAAACACCAATAACATAATTAGCTTAAGTTATCTTATTACGTTCGATATATTGTCCAACTGACAGTATGGGATCTAGCAATGTAAATATACAGAAGATGCAATCTTGACTTGACATTGTTTAAAGTTCGATCGTATCTATTACACCTATGGCGTACCGCAAGGCAGTATTTTCGGTTCAATGTTATTTCCAATTTATATCTTTGTAATCTGCAAATTAATTGTACCACATACATATATTCCGATGATATTGCTGTAGTTTTTACTGGAACATCATGGGATGATTCTCAAAGATGCAGAATCTGGCCTTACTAAAATTGCTAACTGGCTTTAATTCAATTTTCTGACAACTATTGCATTTAAAAGTTTGTTTCACTATTAAAAATTGATTAAAAATCGGACTCAACCGGGAAATAACTTTAACATAAAGACTTACACTCACACAAATTGTAATTCTACTCTGGCATTGGGAATCATCATAGATCAAAGTTTAACTTGTCATGAACATATTAATGTAAAAACTTGTAAGTTTACAAAATTAACCTCGATTTTTAAAACGCTTACGCATAATTATAGCATAGGCATATATCCTCATTAACAAAATTTATGTAGCACTAGCTAAATTGTTGATAACTAACTGCCTTCCGATATAAGATGGAGCAACAAAAATTACAATTACAAAAAGCTCAGCTTGCCTTCGTAAAAGCTATGTAGTTTAGGCCAACTTTGATTATCCAACAGATCTGGTGTACTGGGTATAAGGCAATTATATATTTTAAAACAATGATGAAATGACACTGTACTTAACTCTCATTGTGTTAAAATACATCTGCTAGATGTCGATCCATTAACCAATCTATCTATCTGTACAATGTTGTTAACAAAAAGCTTAATATTTGCGGGAGTATTTCAGCGGGAGTCTCTGACACAAGTGCCTTAAGATGATTAAAACACGTCTCCTACCTTACGCAATTTGCCAAAGGTTTATTGAAGTAAAATTATTATTATTATTTTCGGGTATCTGTATAGTTTTCTCATCTGGTTGGGCTGTATAAATATAAATATGTAAATGATAATGATAAACATACATAAATATTAACAAAATAAAATAAATACACAAAAAATACATAAATAAATAAAAGCCCAACCAGATGGAAGCCCTCGGCAGGGGAGACCAAACGGCCGAAGGTTAGGGGGAAAGGGAAAGAAACCGGCGGACGATGCGGGCGGTATCGAGGAGCACCGCCTTCTGCATTTGAGCTTGGAGCGGTCCGTCACGGAGTCACAGTCGCCTCAGATGACGCGAGAGGCTGACTGGGATTAACCCGTTCGCAGAAACGACTACAGGTATAATTTCGGTCGACAGTCCGCCCCACATGTCGGTCAACTCGTGAGCCAGGTCCAGATATTTCGTACGCTTATCTGTTTCGGCTTTCACGAGGTTCTCGTCATACGGAATGGTAATGTCGACCAAAAATATCTTTGACTGTGCCCGGTCCATCAGCACAATATAAGGTTTATTCGCAAGAATAGTCCTGTCTGTGATGATGGCCCGGTCCCAGTAGAGCCTGGCGCGGTCATTTTCGAGCACGGCTTCCGGTATATACTTATAATAAGGCAGTTTCCGATCCAAGAGACGGTATTTCAGAGCGAGCTCCTGGTGTAGAATTCTGGCTACTAGGTTGTGCCTATGCAAGTACTCAGAGTTAGAAAGCGCTGAACAACCAGAGATGATATGCCTAAGTGACTCACCGGGATGGCGACAAGCTCGACAAATGTCGACGGTGCCATCCCATAGGATGTATCTCTGATAGTTGTTGGTCTTAATAACCTGATCCTGTATTGCACAGACAAAACCCTCGGTTTCCCCGAGAGGTCACCAAAACGTAGCCAGTGGAGGGAGGCAACTGTGTCTTCGAAAGGCTCATGTAGAGCCTTGTAGAACCTCCCGTGGAGCTCCTTCTCTTTCCATACGGTCTCCCGGTCGGAAATGCTCTGTATTGTCGGGTCTTTGTTTGTTCTGTATTGCCATTGCTTGTTGGCTAAGGATAGAGGGGTAAATCCTTTATCACAAAAAATAACACCCCTATGTAATGGATCATCCGCTCTCGTCAGAAAGTAATTACGGAGGCTGCACACTTCGCGATTACGCATGGTAAGAGCGCTTAAAAAGCCGCACCCACCATGTTTCCGCGGCAAGTACAGCCTCATTACCGACGATCTCGGATGATGCATCCTGTGGGACGTCATAATAGTGCGGACTTTTCTATCCAGAGCGTTCAGTTCGGTCTGAGTCCACCTGAGTATGCTAAATGTATACATGAGAACAGGCATGAACCGTTATATGCGTATGTCTTATTAACACCCGACAAAAGACTGTTAAGCACTTTTGTCAAGCGTGCATAAAACACATCGCAAACTGACTGCTTCATACCTGTCTCATCGACACCGATGTTCTGTGACATACCCAGGTACCGGTATGTTTCAGCCTCGGAAAGGGTCCTTATGCTGATGGGCATAGATAAGTCTAGGCCCTCAGAGTTAGCAACCCTTCCCCTTTCGACATGGAGGATTATTATTATTACAGTATCGACGCGCCGGCACCTCTGAGGAACAGATGGAATGCCTGACATCATATATGATTGACTTTAAATTTAAAAAATATTAATCTGTTTGGTTTTCTTTCTCACTTTACAAACACTAAAGTATAATTATAGAAACAAGAAACAATACATACATTTTAGGTCGTAGTTATATGCGTGTTATTGCATATAACTACGACCTAAAATACAATAATAGAATTGGCACTTATAAAAGCTTATGCTAGCTCTTAACATTTTCACTGTCAGCATCAGCATCAACGTGATAGGCGGATGAAAGCTAGATTACATTTATTTATTATATATAGTTGGTCATAGAAATAAAGTACAAATTGTTTTTCTACCGACTTCAAAAAGGAGCCGGTACTCAATTCGTCTGTATTTTATTTTTTGTGTGTTACCTCATAACTTCTTACTGGGTGAACCGATTTCGATGATTCTTTTTTTATTTGTAAAGCTGGTGCTTCAAATGTGGTCACATATACACTTGATCAAGGTCTGACCAATAGTTTTTGAGTTATTCTTAATAATTTATATTGAAGTCGGTTGTACAAAATTTTTAATTTTAAATTATTAACGTAGTGGCTTATAATAAGTACGCAATTGTTCGAAGCTTAATGGACTAAAAATAATAAAATTTTAATTTATTTTAATAATTTTAACGACAATTTGTGATGGCCCCAGGAATAACGGCAATCTTATATTTCATATTTTTTTACAGATTGCCGCATGGACATAGACATTAGTATGATTGGGATACGAGTTATGGACGAGATCGTGAAACCTCTGCGGGAGATAGATATCGATGACACAGAGTTTGCTTGTCTTAAAGCCATAGTGTTCTTCGATCCCAGTAAGTGATTTAATTAGTCTCACGTTAGTTACCGTTACATAGACATAGATCTCCCATATGTTTTATGGGGGGGATATTTGCCATAGCAAAGTCAAAATTAATTCTTTGCCACAAAAAAAAAAAACAATGTAAGAAAATACAAAAACAAAAACAATAGTTGTGACAAAACGGTCTGTCGCTCAAACTACGGGAATTCAACTAGAAACTACGGGAAAATTGCTCCTGCTAATTTGCCACAGCCTTTGCGTATTAACCATACAGATGCTTTGGCAAGTGGTGAAACACTCGTACCTTACAAACAAAACTAATAATAACTAAAAATACTAAAATACGTACCTTGAGGCGGTATTAGATCCACACAGAGCCAGTTAAATACTGGCTGCTGTTAAATAGCCCCTTGCGACATTTGAGGAGATAGAGTAGACCGGATTCCGTAATTTTATTTCTGGCTAATTTAAAACTCCCTCTGGCTCCTGCAATTCTAATCCTAAATAATGAAAGCAGACAATAAGGGATAGTGGATATTCTTACACTGCCACCACACGACGTTAATAACTTTAATTACTGAAATTATATAACAGCTTGTTTACATGATTTTTAAAAACCAAAGAGTACCCGCATAATCATGAAATAGAAAAAACCGATTTGAACAAAAATTGGCAAATTTTAAATTGTCGAGGGCGGCACTGAAAATTTCGGGAATCAAGGAAGTGACACAACATTACTATTTTAAAATGTATTTATTGCTTTTCGAAGTATTCTCCGCGAAATTTGACACATTTTTCCATACGATGGAACCAATCATTGAAGCAACCATTCCATTCGGAAGTTGGGGTCTCCAAAATGGCCGTTTTGTAGGTGTCCACAGCTTCTTCAGGTGATGAAAATCTCTGTCCACGCAATTTATTCTTTCTTTTAGGGAAAGTATAGAAATCATTAGGGCTTAGGTCGGGGCTGTACGGCGGATGGTCTAATAACTCTATGTTTTCTTGCTCTAAAAACTCTTTTGTTCTGTGTGCGGTGTGAGAACTCGCATTGTCGTGATGGAGGATGATGCGGCGGTTGCAGTTCTCTTTACGGAGTTCAGAAACGACCTGTGGCAAACAAATACTAGCATACCATTCTGCATTAACCATTCTTTGTCCCTCAAGAGGAATAGTCGTAACATGGCCGGTTTTGGAGACAAACGTGGCCACCATTTTTTTTGCAACACTCCGTGAATAAACAATTTTTGTTGGCTTTAACTCATTTTCGAACACCCAAACTCGTGACTGGTTTTTTGTTTCGGGTTCGTACGCGTATATCCAGGATTCGTCACCTGATACGATGTTGTATACAGCATTTGAGGATCCTGCGTGGAATCTTTCGAGAGTTCTGACGCACCAAGTAACGCGAGCCGCTTTTTGCTCTTCACAGAGCGAATGCGGTATCCATCGGGAAAACAACTTTTACACCTAATTGTTCATGCAAGATTATTTGTATTTGACTCATGCCAATGTCTAAAGTTGCCTGAATTTCGCGGTATGTCACATGTCGATCTTCCTCAATCAGCTTACGCACAGCATCAACGTTTTCTTGGGTGACTGTAGTTTTTGGACGACCTTGACGGGGATCATCACTGAGCTTGACACGTCCACGTTGAAATTCAGCAAACCAGCGATAAATTGTGGTTTTGGATCGGGCTTCATTACCAAATGCAGAAATCATCCGGTCAACACACTGTTTTTGTGTTAAACCACTTCGAAAGTCATAATAAATCATCGCTCTTGAATTTTCTCGAGTCAATTCCATTTTCTCAACGACTAAACAAGTTTGACAAAACCTTGTGACAAGACCGAGAATCTTTTTTTAAATATATAAATGGTATTCGATTTTTAAAACCAAGGTCTTTTCAATTAAAAAGATTTTAATATGACAGGAACAGTGGAAATATTCCATTCCCGATACTTTTAGTGCAGCCTATGTATATCTAATTTTACGTACAATTAGTGAAACACATTAAATTGGTACTAATATTAAATAAAATGTGAAATGTTGTAAAGATATTAAAACGCCGATCTTTGTTACTCAACTCATTCACTCATAAGCGTATTCGCTTAAATTTGGCACTCTAAAAGATCATGCCCTGAATAAACACATGAAGGCGTTACTGTTCCACGCAGGGGAGCCGCGGGCAGAACCTAGAATAATACAAATGTCTATACGAATAATGTCTTCGTCGATAGCACCAACTACCGGAAAATTAACTCCTGTACTGTGTAGGCAGATATTTCTCGAATTGACGCTTGTGAACAATCAGACTTTTTTACCATAATCGATAACTTAATAATGAAAATATTAGAAAACTTATACTAGATGTTAATTTTTTTAGTTTACAAGTATACAGTACACAGTACAAAGTCCGGTATGACGCATCCATAGAATGAAGTGTTGTTTTGGTGACATAATGTGTAATGACTGCAACCAAAGAGTATATATACCACACATATATATAATCACTACATACTACAACCAAAACACATTATCGCGTTTTAATTTTTTAAATGATTTTAATATAACTAAAATTTTATTTTTTATAATTAAAACTGAAGTGATAAAAGAACTTACAGCGCACCTGATGATAAATGGATACTACAGTCCATAGGAACCTGCAACCATCTCCACATAAAGTAGGCTACGGTACAAATGCGTTGTCACCTCTTGAGGACCAAGATGGAATACTTCGCAGCCAGTAGCTGCAGTAATTATTCTAGATCACTCTCTCTATACTGCTGGCCGTATGAGGAATTTCGAGGTCTCTCAGCGAAATATGGAGAGAGATATGCTCGTGGTTTCTCTGCGTGATAGACTTAAAAGCGAGGATATCCGCAGTAGAACCAGAGTAACCGACATAGCCCAACGTTAAATGAAGTGGCAATGGGCCGGCTATATAGCTCGTAGAACCGACAACCGATGGGAAATAACGGTTTTTGGAGTGGCAACCTCGTACCGGCAGGTGAAATGTAGGGCGTCCAACCACTAGATGGACCTGGTAAGACATGCAGAAAGTTGATGGATACAGGTGGCCCTGTGCTTTGTCGCATTCCTTATAGGAGTAATGATGATGATGACTCTCTCTCTCTATAGCCTTCAGACACAGACACAGAATAGGTGTATCTATTTGGCGGTAGATATAGGTAAAAAGATAGACCTGGACGGATAGAATTGGCACTTATATAAAGTTTATGCAACCTTTTAACATTTCAACTGTCAGTATCAACGTGATAAGCGGATGAAAGGTAGATTATATTTATTTATTTTACATCGTTGGCTGTACAAGTAAAGTACAAATTTACTTATATTTTTTTTATCTTACCAAGTAGCTTAGGAATATAATCACGCAATTTTTAAATGATATATACGAGGGCTGCACTAAAAGTATCGGGAATGGAATATTTCCACTGTTCCTGTCATATTAATTTTTTTTTTAATTGAAAAGTCCTTGGTTTTAAAAATCGAATACCATTTATTTATTTAAAAAAAGATTCTCGGTCTTGTCACAAGGTTTTGTCAAACTTGTTTAGTCGTTGAGAAAATGGAATTGACTCGAGAAAATTCAAAAGCGATGATTTATTATGACTTTCGAAGTGGTTTAACACAAAAACAGTGTGTTGACCGGATGATTTCTGCATTTGGTGATGAAGCCCTATCCAAAACCACAATTTATCGCTGGTTTGCTGAATTTCAACGTGGACGTGTCAAGCTCAGTGATGATCCCCGTCAAGGTCGTTCAAAAACTGTAGTCACCCAAGAAAACGTTGATGCTGTGCGTAAGCTGATTTAGGAAGATCGACATGTGACATACCGCGAAATTCAGGCAACTTTAGACATTGGCATGAATCAAATACAAATAATCTTGCATGAACAAGTAGGTGTAAAAAAGTTGTTTTCCCGATGGATACCGCATTCGCTCTGTGAAGAGCAAAAAGCGGCTCGCGTTACTTGGTGCGTTAGAACTCTCGAAAGATTCCACGCAGGATCCTCAAATGCTGTATACAACATCGTATCAGGTGACGAATCTTGGATATACGCGTACGAACCCGAAACAAAAAACCAGTCACGAGTTTGGGTGTTCGAAAATGAGTTAAATCCAACAAAAATTGTTCGTTCACGGATTGTTGCAAAAAAATGGTCGCCACGTTTGTCTCCGAAACCGGCCATGTTACGACTATTCCTCTTGAGGGACAAAGAACAGTTAATGCAGAATGGTATGCTAGCATTTGTTTGCCACAGATCGTTTCTGAACTCCGTAAAGAGAACTGCAACCGCCGCATCATCCTCCATCACGACAATGCGAGTTCTCACACCGCACACAGAACAAGAGTTTTTAGAGCAAGAAAACATAGAATTATTAGACCATCCGCCGTACAGCCCCGACCTGAGCTCTAATGATTTCTATACTTTCCCTAAAATAAAGAACAAATTGCGTGGACAGAGATTTTCATCACCTGAAGAAGCTGTGGACGCCTACAAAACGGCCATTTTGTAGACCCCAACTTCCGAATGGAATGGTTGCTTCAATGATTGGTTCCATCGTATGGAAAAATGTGTCAAATTTCGCGGAGAATACTTCGAAAAGCAATAAGTACATTTTTAAGTAGTAATGTTGTGTCACTTCCTTGATTCCCGAAATTTTCAGTGCCCTCGTAATCATTACGTACTGTAACAACTAAATATATTTCTGATTTTTATTAAATTTATAAATAAAAATCGTTTTTAAACATTATAGGATGATATAACAAACAAAATAAAATTATTTCCTTTATTAGTCAATTCAATTTAATTTATGTAACACAAATCTCCCAAGTTATAGTGGTGTCTTATAAATTTCAATCAGATGCGATGATAATATGAGTTCCTAAAGATAATTAAAGTTTGATTTTATTTAATAAACCAATAAAGATATTTGATTTCATAATGGTCGTGACCGTCCGCAGACGCGAAAGGGCTGTCGCAGCCGCAGAAGATCAAGCAGCTGCGCTACCAGGTGCAGATCAACCTGGAGGACTACATCAGCGACCGGCAGTACGACGGGCGCGGCCGCTTCGGCGAGCTGCTGCTGTGCCTGCCGCCGCTGCAGAGCATCACGTGGCAGATGATCGAGCAGATACAGTTCGCCAAGCTGTTCGGCGTCGCGCACGTCGACAGCCTGCTGCAGGAGATGCTGCTCGGAGGTAACATGCGTGCCATCGCTATTGAACATTACTTTTTCTAACCACTTCAAAAAAAGGAGGAGGTTCTCAATTAGACTATATTTTTATGTGTGTTACCTCAGAACTTTTTATAAGTTAACCGATTTTGATGATTCTTTTTTTAATTTGAAAGCTAGTGCTTTTTATGTGGGCCCATATAAATTTGATCAAGATCTGATCAATAGTTTTTGAGCTATCCTTAATAATGCGTATCCAATAATACGTATTATTTTGACTTCGACTACATTGATGATGTTCTGATTTTATTTATATTGAAGTCAGTTGTACAAAATTTTTAAATTTACGTCTTGTTCTAAATTTATATACGATTGCTGTCACTTGGTGAAACTTCATCTTCGTTTTTGTGATTTGCTTAAGCACTTTTAGTTGTGGAACAAGTACAAGTACTTAACTAAATTGTCACCCTTATCCTATACAAAAACACATTTTTTTTGATATGGGTAATAAACCCTATTAATACTATTTATTTTACCAACACTCCCATTAACTTTAAGGTGGTAGAACCTTTTCTATCTAAGAGTCTGTCTGGGTAGCTACCCTCTTACCTGTTTCTGCCGCTACGATATGCGCGCCACCTACTGTAAGTTGATTGTAATTATACTACGCCTATAATCTTCAGGCAAGTGTAAGCAATAACTTAACAAAGTCTTAGCGCAATCTGATACGGTATAGCAGCACATAAAATACGAACAAACAAACATTAATTTTAATACATTAGACATGATTATGCTTTTTGATTTATGGACCTTTACGATTTATTAATTCACAAGAATATTCCAATAGACACTTTGAACTGTGTCTATTGGAATATTCTTGTGGAGCAACATTTATTATTTTACACATATATTTTTTAGCCCTCGGATGATCTCACGAATGACCTCACGAGGACACGGAGTTCGCGTCTCGAGAGAACGTCGCGAGTCATTAGCACAAGTGCTACGTTCCCACACAAGACAGATCTCAGCCTTGGTTTAATCGTCCCTGTAAAACTGCATTACACAGTACGCGGGAATGTTTTCAGGCCTGGCCTGACTAATCGGCGGCCCGGAATGAAAACACCAGCATCCTTAAAAGAAAGTACAAGTCCGCCTACAGCGATCTTTAAACCTAATTACAACGTTGCTAATGTTCATAATACTTTGCGCGCCTCGGATGCGACCTTCGTTAAAATAGCCTACCGATTGTTGCAGCGCACGTATTAAATCAAAATGCACCTTACGTCCGCGTGCGAGATTCTGTATCACTTAGCCCGTTACGCGACTTTGTTAAGGCCGCTCCTACTTAGGTGTTGTGAGAAAACAAATTGAATCCTTTGATATTAGTTGGTAGTAGAATACACCGACGTGGTACGCAATGTATTAGTAATTTGCTGATAATAAGAACATTATTGTTCAATGTGCGATTGGTTAAAGGTATTATCTAGTTATACATTACTTCTATTACGTGCTCTATGATGCCGGTAGAATAGATAGCATCACTGTGATATGATAATAATATCTTACCCTTCGATATCCTTAGGAAGAATAAAGTATGATAAGTCGACATTATTTAAGCACCCGTATGATATGTGGTACCTTTTGACTTTTTGAGTGGCCATACTTGAATAAAAATTCAATAATAAATATCATCTTATAAGAGAAAAATAGTTTTTTTGTTAACGTAAGGCACTCGTCAGCTCGAGCGGGCGCGTGACAGCCTCACGGAATTATCCCCTTGTAGGGGGCGGCTCAGCGTAGGTATATTATAACGGTGGTAGAGCCCCGCAGCAGTTTTTGCTGTTGCACGTATGGGCCGGCTCGAAGAATACCGGCGTGAAGTAGAGGCTCTGCTTCTGCGTTTCGTCTGGTGAGTGCAGGTGGCCGGAGGCCCAATTCCCCCCCCCCCCCCCCCCCCATCAACATGGTAGCGGAATTACACAGTAGACTACCCCAGGAGGGTACCAGTACCCCTGGAGAATCCCTCGCTGAGCATCCACGACCATTTTATTCCAATCCTGAGCGTGGGTGCTCAGGCTGCCCCGCGTATTCTGGGGGGGGGGGGGGGGGGGGCAAAATTCCGCTCAAAAACAAAACTGCTCGGGGCAAACTGAGCAACAATACCAAGGCGACCCCTGCCACGCTATCCGTGAATTTCTGCAACATCAGGGGACTTCACTCTAACCTAAACGCCGTGCACTACCATCTCGAGACAGCGAAGCCGGCCTTGCTCTTTCTGACCGAGACGCAGGTTTCCTCTCCGGCTGATATTTCGTATCTCTCCTACCCGGGGTACAAATTGGAGCACTCCTTTGTGCCTCGGGCTGGAGTTTGCGTGTATGTCAGAGAGGACATCTGTTCTCGACGCCTCGGCAGTCTTGAAGGTTCGGACCTGTCCATCCTTTGGCATCGCGTAGACAGCGACGACCATCCGCGCGTCTACGGGTGCCTCTATAGGTCCCATAGCGGTAATGCCGAAACAGACCGACTCATCGACCACGTCCAAATGGCTACAGATTCCTTGCTACAACAGGTCCCATCCGCAGAGATCGTGATCCTTGGCGATTTTAACGCCCACCATGCCGAATGGCTCTGACGGGGGGAAAATACCGCCGACCATCCCGCGGTGTAAGTGCTCCATGCCGGATGTGCTATTCTCACAGCGCTCAGTTCGCAAAGCACTTCTCTCCCTGGACATCCAGAAGTCGAGTGGGCCTGACGGAATCCCCCCAATTGTGCTGAGGACGTGTGCTCCGGAGTTGGCACCGGTCCTAACGCATCTTTTCCGGTACTCCTACTCCCAAGGCGTAGTCCCGAATTCATGGAAGACAGCTTTTGTCCACCCGATCCCTAAAAAAGGCGACCGTCCAACTATAGGCCTATCGCGATCACCTCCTTGTTCTCCAAAATAATGGAATCCATTATTAACTGCCAGCTCATCCAGTACCTTGAGGATCACCTGATTAGTGACCGCCAATACGGTTTTCGTCGCGGTCGATCAGCTGGTGATCTTCTGGTCTACCTGACCCATAGATGGGCGGAGGCAGTAGAGTCCAAGGGGGAGGCGTTGGCCGTTAGTCTGGACATTGCGAAGGCCTTCGATCGGGTTTGGCACAAAGCGCTTCTTTCGAAGCTCCCTTCCTATGGGCTTCCCGAGAAATTGTGCAATTGGATCACCAGCTTCCTTGCAGATCGGAGCATCAAGGTCGTTGTAGACGGTGTATGTTCTGACTACAAGCCTATTAACGCTGGTGTTCCACAAGGCTGTGTGCTATCACCAACGCTGTTTCTTCTGCGTATCTATGATATGTTGCTAACTGGTAACATTCATTGCTATGCGGATGACAGCACTGGTGATGCTCTATACACCGGCCGGGCCAATATTTCTCGGGAAAACGTCGCCGAGTACCGGAACAAACTTGTGTCTGAAGTCGAGTCTTTGCTGGACAAAGTCTCGGATTGGGGGCGACTAAATCTAGTCCAGTTTATTCCTCAGAAGACACAATTTTGCGCGTTTACCGCTAAAAAGAACCCCTTTGTCGTATCTCCTCAGTTTCAAGGCACTCCCCTTCTTGCCTCAGCCAGTATCGGTATCCTCGGAGTCGACATATCGAGTGACGTGCAGTTTCGTGGTAACTTGGAAGAGAAGGCCAAATTGGCCTCTAAAAAGCTTGGCAGAGCGGGACAGTATTTCATGCCGGCACACCGCCTGCAACTTTACAAGGCGCAGGTTCGGCATCACATGCAATACTGTTCCCATCTCTGGGCAGGGGCTCCCCAGTACCAGCTCATTCCACTTGACCGCATCCAGCACAGAGCGGCTCGAATCGTCGACGACCGAGCCCTATCCGATCGGCTCGATTCATTGGCACTGCGAAGAGATGTTGCATCTCTTTGCATTTTCTTTCGCATCTACCATGGGGAGTGCTCTGAGGAATTGTTCGGATTAATCCCAGCCGCCAAATTTCATGAACGCACATCGCGGCTGAACTCCCGATACCATCCACACCATCTGGATGATTGGCGGTCCACCACTGTGCGATTTAGAAGATGTTTTCTTCCTCGCACGACTTCCTTGTGGAATCGATTACCATCAGCGATTTTTCCGGACCGATACGACTTAGAGACCTTCAAGAAAAGAGCTTACTCCTTTTTAAAAGGCCGGCAACGTATCTGCAATTCCCCTGGTGTTGCGGTTGTTCATGGGCGGCGGTAGTCACTTACCATCAGGTGAGCCGCATGCTCGTTTGCCCCCTCTCCTATAAAAAAAATATATTTTCGTGCCTAAAGCGCGGACGCGGAGTGGGACAGGCCTGCTGCTACAGGTCCTTCAAAAGAGTTATTGCCAAGGCAAAGTCAGAGACCATTGGCATGATTGGCGAGAAATAAGTTCGTCTTCCTTTGGGAAGAATTCCTCCGTGAATTCTGGTCTCTCGGCAACGCTGTCAAAATTTTTTGTAAGTCACCAATTCCATCCGTGCACAGGCAGGATAACTCGCTGGCCCACTCTCTTTTTGCGATCAATTTAACTCTCGATGACAGGGGGAACCCATCATCGACCAACCCGCGGTTTGAGTTCTCCATGCTCGATGTGCGGTTCACGCAGTGCTCAGTACGCAAAGCACTTCCCTTCCTGAACGTCGAGTTGGCCGGACGGAAACCCACCAATTGTGCTGAGAACGTGTGCTTCAGAGATGGCACCGGTTCTAACCGGATCACTAGATTTCTCTCAGATTAGTAGACGGAGTATTAAGGTCGTAGTCGACGGTGCATGTACTATCGCCTACTCTGTTCCTTCTGCATATCAACGACATGTTGCTTACTAATTACATTCATTGTTATGCAGATGACAACACTGGCGATGGCTTATACACCGGCAGTGCTAATATTTCTCGGAAACACGTCGATGAGTGCTGATCGGGGGCGACTAAATCTAGTCCAGTACAATCCCCAGAAAGCACAAGTTCTCGCGTTTGCCGCCTCATTACCTCAACTAGCATCGGTATCCGCGGCATCGCCATATGGAATGACGTTCAGTTCCGCGGTCACTTGGAAGGGCAGGCCAAATTAACCATGGAAAAATTTGGCGTGCATTGTAGAGTGGGACAGTATTTCATGCCAGCACAACGCTTGCAACTGTACAAGACGCCAGTTCGTCCTCACATGGAATACTGTTCTCATCTTTGGGCCGGGGCACTCTAGTGTCAGCTTCTTCCACTTGATCGCTGACAACGCAGGGCAGCTCGAATCGTCGATGACTGAGTTATTTCTGATCGGCTAGACATACTCGCGCTGCGACGAAATGTTGGATCCCCTTGCATATTCGTATTCATCTACCACGGTAGAGTGCTCAGAGGAATTGTTCTAATTCCTACCGCTAAATTTTACCATCGCACATCGCGAAAAACTCGCGATACCATCCACACCATCTGAATGATTGGTGATCCACCACTGTGCGATTTACCAGAAGCTTTCTTCCTCGCACAACTTTCTTGTGGAATCGACTACCACCAGTGATTTTTCCGGACCGGTCGAGGACCGGACCGATTAAAGGATCGGCAACGCACTTTCAATTCCCCTGGTGTTGCGGTTGTTCATGGCCGGCGGTAGTCATTTACCATCAGGTGAGCCGTATGCTCATTTGTCCTTTAGTATATAAAAAAAAACACATGTGCACTCACAGTTTCGCACTCGTACATTCAATAAGAATAATATGTTTAAAAAACTAGCAGGGTTCAAAATAAGTAGTTTGTTGCTGATCCGTCCGATTAACGTTACGTTCCGTTTTATTACATACAAGTTACATTGTAAGATTAGTTATTATTGCAAGCTATTAATTTGGCAAATGACGACCTAAAGTGGAACATCTTAAACTATTGTTGAAACAGTATTTTGGTTAAAATAACTTAAATTGATAATTAGATAAACCATCGAAATAAAAAGAGTTGATGAAAACGGTTGAAAAGGTTTTTTTTTTTAATCATAACTAAGAGCACTCTCGATTAAGTGACCAAAATATATAAATATATAACACCTCTCTGTTAGCGTCGGGGGTTAAAACGGGAAGGGAGTATGTAATATGCGGGACAATAAACGTGTTACCTATTTATTAATTGTGAAGAGAAAACTTTATAACCCCTTTTTAAGTATATTGCCTGCACAGAGTAGTGTGAGATTTGGCATAATTAATGTTTATATGGTGAAAGAGTGCAAAAAGCTAAAATTAATATATAATGTTTTGCAAATGTATTAAATAAAATAAAATAAAACGTTCATTGTTTATGTTCACACCGCCAATGTCATACACTTAGTAGCTTATCGTTTGTTTACGTTCATTCTGCCAATGTCAAACATATAATAATCTGTGGTCACAAACTTCAGAGTAAAGTACAAGGTTATTACACTAACAAATAACTACTGACAGATTAACTGATTGTGTGTGATTTCTGTGACTGTTAATTTCGTGTGATTTTAAATGTTCCTAATTTAGTCGAGTGTATATCAAGGCAAAAAACGTATTTTATATTTTGTGTATGAGTTGAAGGTGAAATGCAGCTTACTATAAGAAGAATAAATATATGGACTTAAAAAAATTATAAATTACGATCGAATTTGAACCACTAGGCGAGCACTGATGTTTAAAAACTTGGCGTATGTTGTTGTAGGGGCAATGACCGAAGCGTCGGGCGAGGAGAGCGGGGCGGGCGCGGCGGTGGGCGCGGGGGCGGGCGCGGGCGCCGCGTCGCCGCCGCTCGTGGCGCAGGCGCCGCACTACGAGCCCGCCGCCTTCAAGCAGGAGCCTAACATGTAAGCCGGAACCCTCAGCTCACACAAAACATCACATTGTCTGTTTCAACCTTACACTAGCATTAAATAGCAGCTTCCGTGTCTCGTATGGTGATTGTAAAGAACCGGAGACCCTTTGTACTGGATACGAGACATTCCATCTTATATATTCCAACCCGCTTGCCAAGCGAGGCAACTATGGAAAATATCCCCGCTATGAGACAATCAATGGGGTAGGCCTATGTTCAACAGTGGAATTTAAAAGGATGTAACGTTAACGAAAACGGTTATATAAGACACTTACAGTACGAAATGTGGTGATCAGCCCTAAAAAAATTATTGCTAGAAATACCTCTCCCGTTATAGAAAGGACTTGCCCTGATTGTCACGGTATAAGCGTAACAATTGCAGTACCAGACGTCTCGCACCTTTAACAATGCTGCCTATCGCCAGTATGCGCATTTTAAATCTAGCGTAAACGAGATGGTATGATTACCGCCATCTACCAGAAGCAATAACATTTTCTCATATTCGTCTCTTACGACATCTGTACGTACGTATAATAGCGATGTAAGAATATCCACTAAGCTATATCGTCCCGTGCGCGTCTTAAGAGATGACAAAGGGAAACAAATTATCCTAATAATGACTAAAAATAAAAATAAAACTGCGGTTGCCAACCCGCTTGCCAAGCGAAACAACTATGTAAAATATCCCTATAAAACAATTAATAGGGGAGGCCTATGTTCAGCAGTGGACTTTAAAAGGCTGTAACGATAACAAAAACGGTTATATAAGACACTCACTACTAGTATATTAAATTAAACAGTTTATTGTTATAGAGTATTATAAAAAATAATATAACATTTTACCAGGAGTCCCGAGCCTTCTTCGCGATTGATGAAGTCGTCTGACATAACAATGTTATAGTAAAACTGTCTGGAGGTGAACTAGGTGTTTATACGCAAGAGCTGTTCATAAGCGCAAGAATTTAAAAAGTGCCTTAAAAACTATGAGATATGTATAAGAATTAAAATATATATAATATCCAAAATTTCTTTTGGAACATAATATTTGAACTCAAGGAAATTATTTATTTTTACTATTTATAAGGATTTTTATCTGAAATGTTTTGATGATTTACAAAGTTTATTACTGGAAAACTACAAACATAAATGTGTATAGTGATAATGTGTAATTTTTTAAATATCAGAAGACTTTATTCACTTAATTTCTTAACATTTCAATAATTTTTGCTTTCGTTGTATAATCTTTCTTAGCTTTGAACTATGTTTTTACTTTTTATATTGATGTGCAATCATTTCTTTGAGCGGCTGTGTTGAAAAAAGAAATAAATTTATTAATTTATATGTTTCATAAATTACGGTTTGTTTATTTTAGGAGGATATATTTATATAGGGGAATGTAGAAGTGGGATAGAATAGCACTTTTAATCACTACAAGTTATTACGCAGTTGATAATATAAAGCAATTCCACATATAAACTTTTTAATGTTGTCGTTTTTATATTTTTGCTAAAAAGCAATAAGTTTATAATATACATATGTAGATAATAAGCATAAGGTTGTTATGAACGCCAGTTTTTATTATTTTTGTGTATTAATTGTTAGTTAATTATTAATGTTTTTTTTAATGATGGCGTCATAGAGTAGTATGAAGAGTTCGCTAATTTTGTTAAGCATGGAAAAATGTATAATGCCTTTGCCTAAGATATAATCAGTTAATTTCAAATAATTTCTAAAAAAACAGAAGCAGCCATAAGGACTGCCGACAGAAGTGAAAACTCAATGATATATGCGTATACATGTACACAGGCCGCTATACTACGCGTCACAAGCATGTCGAGGTCATCAGTGACGCGAACCCATTTTTTTCTTACCATAAATCGCTCAATGCGGTAAAGAAGTTTTCACTTGAAAAATCTTTGTACCGTAGTGTTAATAACTTTGTATAAATTGACGGATACTTCGCACAGACTGGTTGATAATTAAAATAAATCCAAACTTTAGGAAGACATTCCCTTTTAACAAAGCGATGGTCAGCGCAAGGGTCAGACAAGGGTTAATTTATGTAATCGATTAAATTAAAAATAAACAAAGTCGTATTTTATTTTTTATACAAAACGAAGAGGTTGATCGTATACATTTCTTGTTATATGTTTTGTTAATTCCTATTATTTTTGCTGTTGTTACGCAAATGTTACGATTCGCCAATTAAGGCAGGCAAAAGTCTTAGACCATACAGTTTTTTTTACTGCGTACTAAAGCAGACACAAACAACTATCACAGTCAGTGCTAATGACTGCGGGTGGATGACGTATGAACATGACTTCTTGTGTAGTAAAAGACTGTTATAATCTCTCAAGAAAATTAAGAAGTAGTTTTGCGTGGTAGAGCCATGCTGCAGCTATATTGTGGTTGCAGCAAGAATTGTTCGGCTCGTCCGGGGTGGGACCACGCTCTCACAGAAAAGCGTTAAATAGCAGCTTAATGCTGCTGTGTTTCGTATGGTGTGTGTAGAGAACCGGAAACCTTTTTTACTGGAAACGAGACATTCCATCTCAATCCTCAGGGGTGATAACGCATCTGCATTTTGATTCTTAATTGAGGATAAATGCAAATGGCCGCAGCAACCACTTACCATCAGGTGGACTGTGTGCTCGTTTGTCACCCTTATCCTATAAAAAAACTACTGGTCAGATCTTGATCAAATTTATATGGGACCACATAAAAAGAATCATCACCACCATCACCACCACTTAGAAAAAAATTATTAGATAACACACAAACAAAAATACAGTAGAATTGAGAACCTCCTACTTTTTTTTGAAGTTGGTTTAAAATAATTTAATAAAACTGTATTGTCGCGATAAGATTGAGCGCCATTTTATAGGCACAAATTAAAGATTATGAAAAATAGACCGCACAGATGTGACGACACATAGGTATTTATATCATATCGTGAATATTATTCTAATTGTTTAATAGCACATATATGTGCAAAAGAATATTATTTTACCCTATATTATTCTTAACATAAATATAAAAATATGACAGAATTACTTTTTTTTTCTAATATTATAGTTAATTAAGTTCTAGTTTTAAGTCAAATTCTAAATATCTGTAGCTTTTGGTGTTAACTAAGGTTAACTGGTTTAGTTACTAAAATATTTTTAACTATGCCTTCGCTCACTAACTTGTTGAAGGTTTCTTCGATTTGACCACGAGATAAGAGAAGCTTGAATTTAAGAATTTAATTTTGCAATGCAATATATTATGCAAATATCAATAAAATCAATACATCAAGCATTACTCACACGAGTAAACGCTTAAACATCCTTAAATATATAGAATATAACCTTTAACTTGTAAACCCCTTTGTTCGTGTTCATTTTTTTTTATTATTTAATTACACGGAATTAAACCCTTCATACATTACAAATAATAACTAACCTAAATTTATACACATAACGAATAATAGGAATTTACAATAATAATACTCAATACAAAAATAATACGATAATACAATTTACAATGTCAATTTTACATAAATAAACTCTCACACAGTTATCACAAAATTTCAAGCATTCTTCCATAACCACTCTCCATTCATCCGCAAATATGTCACAGCTGGGATTTTGGTCCAGTAGAGCATTTAGCGCGGTTAATGTTCGCGGAATGGGGGGAAACACGCGTGCGACTGTTCGGCACATTGGCTCTGAAAACAACTTATGTCTTCTGCCGCGACAGTAGTTGTTGGGTTCCGGTGAGTCAATTCTGTCTCGAAGAACCTTACACATGGTCGTTATTTGGTCATTTACTCTTCTCACTTCGAGAGAGTTATAACCCAGGCAACTTAAAAGAAACGATGTCAGGTACAAATACGGATAGTAACCATTCACTCTCTTATAAAGGACGAAGCAAAGCTTCTTGAACTTTCTGTAACATCAGACTGTATTTATCCTCATGAGGGTGCCACACGCAAGAGCTAGTCTCCAGTACTTCTGACCAAGGCATTAAAGAACCGGAGACCCTTTTTATTGGAAAAGAGGCATTCTATCTTAGTCCTCACGGGTGACAACGCATCTGCATTTTCATTCGCAAACGAGGATAGATGTGGATGTCTATGGGTCACAGCAACCACTTACCATCAGGTGGACTGTGTGCTTGCTTGTCACTCTTATCCTATAAAAAAACATGATTTAAATTTACCAAGTGTTATAAATCCATCATCATCATTAACATCATTAAATCTCTACAAGTCTACTGCTGAACATAGGCCTTCGCCAAGGAATGCCATAAAGCACGGTCCTGAGCCAGCTGTCTCTATCTACTTCCTGCATCTCTTACGTCGTCGTCACTCCATCTATAATTATAGTGGGTTAACGCCCTACACTTCGCATACCGATACGAGTCTGTCACTTAAGAACCTTTCTTCGTCATCCGTTGTCGGTTCTTCGAAATGTATACCAGGCCCATTGCCATTTCAGCTTACTAATCTGTTGGACTATGTCGGTTACTCTGGTTCTGCTGCGGATGTCCTCATTTATAAGTTTATCACGCAAAGAAACCCCGAGCATTGCCCTCTCCATAGCTCGCTAGGAATCTTTGCGCTTCCTCATACAGCCAGCAGTGAAGGACCACTTCTCAGATCCATAAATCATCACTGGCAAGTGCAACACGCACTGGTTGTGCAATTTCGTTTTCGGGTTTTGAGGTTTACCTGACGAGATGTGTCATAATTTCCCGAACAGTGCCCAGCCGAGTTGAATCCGTTAGAATTTTGAAGTCTATCACGCAGAGAAGCCCTGAGCATAGTCTTCTCCATCGTTTGCTGAGCGATCTCGAGCCTCCTCATATAACAAACAATAAAGTACCAAGTCTCAGATCCGTATGTCATCACTGGCAACACGCACTGGTTGTACACTCTTGTTGTCAAGTTTTGAGGTTTACGGTATGCCTGACAAGAAGATGTTGTGTCGTTATCTCCAAAAATAAATCCATATTTATGAGTAATTATTACGTGTTCTATACTTGAAAAATATAGCGAACTCTTCAATCTACTCTGTAATATCATCATCAGTAACAGTTCAAAGAATAGATCTTTAAAATTAAAAATAAATTTAATTATACAATAATATGTATTAGCATAATAAAAATAAACCTAAATTAAAAATATAGTATGTTCTAAGCCATACTATACACATACAAAAATAGTTAAAATTGCTGTAACCATTTATATAAAACAAAAATATAGAAAAGGCATTTTTAAAAAGTTTACGTACCGAATTATATACTGCCTTCTTAATATCCATCAAGACTTCAATTATTATAGAATATATTATTATTTCTGTTGTCAGTTTTCAGAGAAGTAATTTTAGTGTTTTATTTTGTTACGATCTAATATGTTACCATTGATGTTAAAAGTAGGTGATGGTTAAGAGGACTTGAAGTACCTTCAATTGTTTTATCGTTATATACCTAGATATTTTTTTAAGTAATTTCGACGCTACGTTTTAATTTTTGAAGTGTGTACATGTGCGTGAGAGTGTCGCAGTCGGAGAATAACAGTATAAAATAAGTAAATCAAAGTTTTATGTGGTGCTTCAAAGTGGGACTCGAGTTTTCGCCATTATAATGTTTTGATAGAATGCTCAATTTAATTTCTTATAATGTTGTTGGTGTCGATATAGAATATATAACTTAGTGGTGAAAGATATTTCATACCAGGGAATTAAGATGCAAGTTTTAGCAAAAATGTACTAATTGTGTTCTACGTGCTTTCTTGTCCTTTAAAGGTTATTGTTGAAATGTACACAAGTGTTACAAATTTTATAGAGTATATTTTAGAAATTAAACTACCTATTACAGAATTATAGTGTTTTATTTCATTTAAAGCAGATTTTCAAT